CAACAGGACTGTAAAACAAACTTAGGCCCAATTAATGCATGTAACCAATGAACATTTAGAATGTGAAACTGATATGTCATATGCATTTCATTTCATTTCCTTTCATTCTGTCTCTTAATGTCTGACAAAGTGGACGGGTCCACAAAAGCTTACATTAAAATATAATGGTCAGTCTTTAAGGTGCCACCTGTTGTTGTCTTTATTGTTCTGTTTTGTTTCTTTGGATTTTGCCAAAGAAAGAGGAATTATATGCTTTCAATAAAATAAAACTTAATAGGGCCAGGAGGTGTTTTTCCTTATTTTCCTAACAATCACCATTATAACAATTATGCCCCATCAAGTCATTTCCGACTTTCAGAAACTCTTTCCAGGGTTTTCTTGGTGAAGAGTACTCAGAAATGGTTTACCATTCACAACTTGGTGTGTGTGTGTGTGTGTGTGTGTGTGCCTTGCCTAAGACCACACAGCCTGGTTCTTTTCTGGGAGGGAGGAATCAAATTCCCAGCCTCTGACTCTGCAGCAAGATATCTAACTCACTGAACCATCCAGTCAGTCTACCATTATATTAATGTATAGATTTTGGTTGCTTCACCCTAGTTACAGTTCTGTTTCTAACACACATAACTCTCTAACAGTGGAGGGGATGATAGACGTGCAAAAAACAATAACTTGGTGATAAGGATCATGACATCTGAAAGTTACAAGTTGGAGTTCCTTTGATGGCTTCTGTGGTTTCAGAAAACAAGATGTTATCCTGAGCCTTAATTTTTGTTAACGTATTGCTGTTTAATATACCATCCACAAAAGCCACACATTCTTACACTACCATTGCCTTGTTCTTGTGCGGTTAAGATTTAGAGGCAAAAAACAAATGTTCTGCCTCTAAATGTTTGGAATTTCTCCGCCCCCCCACCTGCCTTCCTCACTGCTCCTCTCTGTGTCACATAATCATCAGCTTTAGAGGGTTTTGCAGCCTTCTATATCTGTTTTTGGGGGGACATGAAGGCTTCAGTGGAGATGTGAAACAAGCTGTTCCCAGTTTCTCTGGAATTTACTCCTTCAGGAATGGAAATCCATAGTTGGATATTCCTCAGTGTTTGCCATGAGGGAAGCTTGTCCGACATCTATCTTTACATCTGTACCTTTAATCTACTCTTACCTTTAGAGTATTCATGTTTAGGTTGTTATATATTGTCAAGTCTCCTGTGATTTATGTTAAACCTAGGAATTAATTACTGTACCTCCAAAGGTCCTACCATGAACAGCTCTGCTGAATTCTTCCAAAGCAAAGGCCCTGGCTTCTTTCATTGAATCAATTAATCTCATGTGCGTTCATCTTCTTTTCCTACTGCCTTCCGCTTTTCGTAGCATTTTTGTCTTCTCATTACAGTATATTCTCAAGTATGATAGTCTCAGTTCAATCTTTCTATTTGTCTTCTCATTATATTCTCAAAGTATGATAGTCTCAGTTCAATCTTTCTAGCCTCCAGTGGACATTCAGGCTTCATTTGATCTTTCTGCCACTCCATGATATTCATATTCACATTTATAAACCAATACTACACGTGTTTGCCTGGAACTGTCTCATTAATTTCACCTCCTACCAAACATGATTAGATGTCTAGTGTCTATTATATGTACCCATGATTCACATGGGGTGGATCATTTCTCAAGCATCCATCACTGCTAACCGGACTCCTACAAATGTTTGCGAAATATTAAGATACTATGCAGTATTGTATAACAACATTTTCAAAGGAACATTAATTTTACTAGTAGTTTTAGAAGAGGTAGCCATGTTAGCCTGTCCTATCAGGCAAAATAAAAAAATAAAGAAGACAAAAACATTGTGACACCTTAAAGACTAACTGCTATATTTCAATGTGAGTTGTATACTAGTATATTTCTCAAGATATGTTTGAGGAAGTAGATTTTAATCACACTGATGGTGCAATTACGTTGATATATAATGCAGAAAACACTCTGGAATTGGGATGGACTGCTCCTCATTATTTTCCATGGACCACACAACAGAAAAGTGAATGCAAATGAGTTTGGACTCTCCCCCCATACCAGTAGTTTTGTCCACCACTACTGGGGCTTCTGCTTTTTTTTTTTTTTTTTTGGAAAGCAAATCCATTCACAGTAGCTCAGGCACTCTGATTGTTTGAACTGATACAGAAAAGTGTGTGCAGGGGTGCTGGTGGTTGGTTGGAAGGGGATCGCCTTCAAGCACCTTTCCCCTTGCCTTTTGCCTCACGAGGAGGGAGAGCCAGAGCCAGCTTCACCCTATTTACTCATTCTTCACTGCAGCCAGAGACCTGGGTCACTCAGCTGGGATGTAATACCCAGCCTTTTGTCTATTTTTCAAGCAAAGGCTCTGGCTATGGCAGAGTGATGTTGCTTGCATGGCAGGAGGAAGACAATTGTGCTGCATCTGGGGGGAGGGAACAATGTTAAAACATTGAGGGGGGAAAGGAGGAAATTGCTACGTGACCCTTGTTTACAGCTTGTTAAGGTAGTTATCCTGTAGCCATGTCCTCTGCAAATCTCCTGGATAGCTAGAGGAGAGCTCTATTAACAAGCTCCAAACAAGGCTGTTTGGCATTTTCTTCTTCTTCTTCTTATCTCTCTCTCTTCTATGTGGCCAGTTAAAGTGAACTTACCAAGGGAAACCTAACTTCCCAGGTGCCACTTCACAGCAGATCAATTCTAATTTTTCTTGCTCTCTAGTTGGAGCCTGACATAAATCTCCTTGTTTTCAAGGTAGCACAAACTTTTTTGTTTTCATTTTTGTCATAAACTGCCTCAGAATGCCTTTATAAAAGGTTCCAAATCTAATTTCTACAAACATCAGAGGAGTGGGAAGAGACGTAAATGTCTCCAGAAGTCTTATGTATCCATAATTACTAACTCTCACAAAAATAATTAACCATGACTGAGCTGAAAGTCTTTTGCAAACACAGCTGACTGTACTTACAGATTGCTACTATGAGCCAAGGGGGCAAAAAAAAAGGAAGGAGAAAAAATAAATACCTCACAAGGAACACCCCAAAGTAGATATGGGCAGAACTGTGCAGCTGTGTCAGGAGAATAGTAACAGGATTCCACATACCATTTGCATGAGTAACCTAAGGTATTTCTTTAGATGAGGGAAGTGATGACGAATATTAATATTCAACTCAAATACTTCTTCCAAAGCCACTTAGTGTTTAAACTTTATCTACATATCTTCCTTCTCTCAGGATTCATGGCCTTTTCCAATCAAGGGATAGTATGAGCAAGCGTACCTGTGCACACAAGCACACGTCTTGCTGGGAGGGCACAGAATGAGTACTCTCCACCTCTCCCCTACTGGTCCAGATGCAGAAGTGGATAAAAATAACAATATGAATGCAATGGTGGTGGATCAGCACACCGGGGAAAGAAAACTTCATGTAGGCTGTAGGACCAGATTGTACATTTCTGGTTCAAAGCAGAAACTGTTTACATAATAAGTCGATCTGGTTATCCCCTGCATAAACAATGGTCGCACGATTGCAACAACTGAATACACGTCAGCAATACTTTTGAAACTATTTTAAAAAAAAATCCCTTCCCGTTCCCCACCCTACCCCCACGTCCAGCACCATTTTTCTGGAATGGGGACTCGAGTTGCGAGACTCGCTGTCAAGTTGGACTTAAGTCACACCAGCGACTCAACTTGGACTTGACTTTGGAAGGGGGGTGAGTTCTATTTATTTATTTATTTATTTATTTATTTATTTATTTATTTATTTATTTATTTATTTATTTATTTATTTATTTATTTATTTATTTACTCTTTGTGTTGTTTAAGATCATTACTACTTAAGATCATGACTTGAGCTTGATTCAAAACTCAGAACCTACCCACCCCTCCCATTTTTTCTGGGGTGAAAAGCTTGGGTTTTTTTGGTAGGTTCTAAAAGGGTTCATCAGATTATACACAAACTAGACAAGATAACCTACATGAGGCCAAGAAAAGAAAAAAGAAAACAGATACCAGCCCACTAAAGAGATGGGACCAGAAGGAATAGTTTTCCCCACAGGACTTCCAAGCTACCTGAAAATCTTCTCTGGATGGTTTTTCAGTTCTCCAGAGCAGATTTTGAAGGTGCACAGAGAGTTTGCTGGGGAAGGTAACTGCCTGCATCTGGTTCCACTAAAAGAACTGCTTCCATCAGTGATCAACACAGCTGGATCCAGGCCAAAGATTCCTAGACCGCAATGGTGCCAAAGAGGCAAACATGCAAATAAACCCTACAAACTAAATTCTTTGGGGCCAGCTTTGTTCTTTATACAAAATTAAGTGGCATCTTCAAGTAACAGATGCTGAGCGAGTGGCAGTGAGGTACCGGAAGAGGCTGCTACAGATGTTATACATCCTGCTCCACATATCCTGGGTGACTTCATTGTCCTCAGGTATGTGTGGAGGATATGGTCACATGATTAATGCTGTAGTTAAGATTCAATTCTTACTATATGTGAAAAATAATATGGTATTTTATCGTTCACCTGAAGCAGAAAAGCACCTTGGGCAGCCTTGATGATCCTATTTAATAACGTGCAAATTAGTCCTAATGAAGCATCAGTTGATTGACTGCATTTGTTATCTATCAGTGCTGGTCCATTAAGACAGGCACCACCTCCTCACTCACAGTTTTTCTTCATTAGGACCAACTCATTAGCAAATCCAAATCTAAATTAAGTTTGTCACATATGGAAAAGCAGGAAGCAGTATCAACATATGACATGTTGTCAGAGTGTAAACTCAGAATTTCCCATTATGCAGGCTGAACACAATATTTGCCACATCCTCTGTTGCAGGAGGGGAAATGTTTAATTATGAGGAACTTCTGATTGAAAATTTAGGAGAACAGTTTTTGCATTTTTCACCTCATTGGAGATAAATGAATGAAGAAAAGGCACACCCACAACCAAAAGAAAGTTTTAACAAATATGTTACCCAGGTGGCTTACCTCTTTCTGAAATCGCCTTCATGACAGCTGTGACATATGCATCTGAATCATCGTCATAAGTGAGCTGTTCCCACTGAGGCCAGTCTTTGAAGAACTTTTCATAAGTCTCTGTTTCTGAGACACCACAGAAAAACTTCACCACTTTGTGTGGTGGTTGAAGAACATCCTGCAGACTCTGAAGGACAGCTGGGATATAGAAGTTCTCCACCAGTTCAGGTGACAGTAAAACAATGATACACTTGCTGCTCTTAAAGAGGTCCAAGTCCCCAGTGGAAACGGCAGTTCCATTCTCCACTAGATAGCTCTGGACTTCTTGGCATGGGTGGAAGAGGCTCTGCAGATAATGGCACCATTCACCAGTGTCTTTCCCATGCACAATCAGCACATCACAAGCACTGGAGTGTTCTTCTGCAGAGGAATAGAATAAGATAGAGATGTTTCACAAATTGAATATTATGCTGCAGCATCTGAGTTGTCAGGCTTGGCAACTGAATAGAATCAATAGAATGAGGATAACATCCTGACCAGGTGAAAATAATTTCGAATCTTGTCAAATCAAACTTTTATTAAAGTATGCATCATTGTTAGTACTATAGTATTTCACTATTTAATGCATAATGTTAATCAATGCATTGATTAATCCTAGGATCAGCTTTCCTAGGGTTAATCAACACCTGCACTTCAAATATTTATCAGCTTCCTCATCAGCAGTGCAAACAGGGTGCAATATGGCATACCTATGCTGCAGAAATGCTACTGAGGTCAACACACACATAGGCATCCTTCAGTCTCGAGAGACCATGGTAACATGCTCTGTATCGAGAAGTGTCCTCTCCAGAGCATGAAGCCTGGATAAAGTAATATGGAGGATAGGCTGTTACCCAAGCAGCAAATTCCCCCTCCCCACATTTCTGAAATGGTCCAATGGAAAGGCAAGAGCCAATACAACTGGTTCCAGCAACATCGCAGGAGTTGGCAGAATGATACTAACTGCCTTCGGGACTCCAGCTCTGGATTTTGCCTCTAGGTTAACTCCTGAAGCCTTTTCCATGAGTGGATATAGCCACAAGGCAGTGGAGGTTTGAAATTGTAGTTTTCCTTCTCCTCGAGGTCAACATTAGTCATCAAATGGGAAAAGAGAACTGCCAACGCAGAGACCACCCCTAGCTTGTGTGCCACACATAGCAATGGTCTCTCTTTGACCCTGCTGCACCTTGGCCTGCTATCCCACCCACCCACCCAGTGACTTGTGAGATCTCTGTTCAGAAATGCCAATTTAAGAGCTACACAGTATCTTGAAGCAGTGGCTCCCAATGAAGCACACTGCTATCCCCTTTTGTGGGAAAGGTAGATGGGTCTGTGCTTTATCGCATCTTATGCTCCTTGACACAAGGACTCCCACTCTTGACACTCTGCCTGACAGAAGAGTGAAGGAAACATGGAAAGAATAGGATAACATTGAGAGAGTCCAGCCACAATCAGCATTTCTTCAACTTTCCTTGTACTCATGGTCCTGGTGCTGCATCCTTGTGTCCACATGATGCAAGGCTGTAGCTAGTGTTAACACAGTCAATGTGGAACCTGTTGCTTTTCAGTGTCTTTTAAGTGCCACCTTCAACAGTGGTGTATTTTTGTTGCACTTTGTTCTAATTTGCTCTTGTGTAGGATCTGCTCATGTGAACCCTAATATTACAGTGATAAGTGATGATCCATTCACTTTGTGGGGTTGCGTGATTTGATTATGTTTTCTTACAGATGTTTTTCTGCTGGATAATCTCCATTCCTCCATGCCTTAACACTACTCCTGTTTACTTTTCTTGGGAAGTTAGTTTTTTTCTTGAGTTGTAGGTGTATTTCTTAATGTTACCCTGTTTGCACCACAGTGAAAAAGCAAGCCCCAAAATAAGAAAAATACATGAAAACATGAAGGCTTGAAAATGGGGGCAGGGGGGCGGAGGGCAGTAAAAACAAGGAGGAAAGGGAGAAGAGAGTGAAGGTAGCAGGAAGAGGATGGAGAAGAAGTCCAATGGTCCTGTGTAGTATTTGCTACTGTTAATTTTTTTAATTAATGATATCTCTTCTGCGCATGGCACAAAACTGGAAACTAAAAACTGACGCACAAACCTGAAGGTTTCAGAATAGGGAAGGGAGCAGAATGTGAAGATGGATGGAGTGTTTATGTACGAGAAGGGGTATGGGGCAGTCACCTCAAGGTCATCCCCATCCTCAACGCAGGAGGTCTTTTAGGAGAAAGAGAGAAGAATATAGGGCCATAATCATCTTAACAGAAGGACAGAGAAAGAAAGGTATGCCTCAGCCTCTGCTTCTTGCCAGCTCTGGCTCCATCCCCTGGCTGTTATGTGTCCCCCAATACACATATTGCCCCTGAAGGAATGTAGCCATTAATGGGAAAACATCCCTCCCTTCCAGCCCAGCAGGGTTTTATCTACTCATTGTATATATATATATATTTAGCATTCAGTGTATTTTATTCCACAGCTGTTATCTTTTGTGGTGCTGAAAGAAGGGCAGGTTGCTCTCAGTTGTCTCCATCCTAGCAGCAAGTTTTTTTTCTAGGTAGAAGTAAATACAGCAATTCTCTCAGTACTAGAATGAATGGGATGCAACAAGATCTATTAAGGTCCTATCGTTTTGCTCAGATTGTTCCAATGTACATTTCTTCAGAGTATGTGAAACACTGAAGAAACTCAACACAGAAGCCTCCCTCAATTTCTGATAGCAAAATATTTGAACTCTGCCTTTTGCTAGTAATATAATAATAATAATCAGGTACCCTCAAGTCAATTGTGACTTATGGAGAACATTTTCAGGGTTTTCAAGGTAGAGAATAATCAGAAGTGGTTTACCATTCCATTCTTCTTGACAGCAAACGACTACTAATAATATACCAGGCAATTAGCATTTTTTTTGATCAGCCTTGTAAAAGCAGGAAGTTCTTTCATTTCCTCATTTTTTTGTTGAGCTGTTCTTTGATCCCCTTTATGCTCAAAAGCAATCTTGGCATAAAATACTGACAGTTCACAGATTAATTCTCTCACATGCTTTGAGATTTCTGGGAAGCTGGACAAGAAGGTACAACATGAATCATACTTTCAGCCCAGCAGCTGACGTCTTCCTGCTGAATCTGCTATAGTCTACTGAGACCTGGCATTCAAGATATGTTGAACACACCTAAGACTTCACAAACATTCATTTGTTTCCACCTTACTGGGATTTGGAAAGTTTGTGCTCTTGGAGTACAACTTCAGCTCCATCCTTGAAGCTGAACTCTAGGAGCACAAGAAGATGAACTCTAAAAGCAAGGTCTAGAAATGTAGATGCTGTCTGGGGTGGGAACTCTAGGATGTAAAATTTATGGAAGCGTGCCACTAGAGGAGCCCCACTGACTGACTTAGTCAATATGTATGAAACTCCAATTTATTCAGTGGGTCTACTCTACTTTGGCCATCTCATGAGAAGAGAAGACTCCCTGGAAAAGACCCTGATGTTGGGAAATCGTGAGGGCAAGAGGAGAAAGGGGACGACAGAGGATGAGATGATTGGACAGTGTCATCGAAGCTAGCAACGTGGATTTGACCCAAGTCCGGGAGGCAGTGGAAGATAGGAGGGCCTGGCGTGCTCTGGTCCATGGGGTCACGAAGAGTCAGGCACAACTAAACGACTAAACAGCAACAACTCTACTTGAGACTACATATTGGATTGGGGCATCTAAATTGCGGTCTAAAAAGGGAACTTTCCTAAGCTCCACTTATTACAGATGAGATGGAGCAGGGAACTACAGCTACTAATAAACATTTTATCAAGACCTCTCAGCTTTCTCTTCTACAGGAAACCACACTTCCTAAAAGACCTTCATGGGCGCTAGGAGAAAACAGCTCACTGAACTGAAGAATGGGGTTTGAAAGCTCTTCAGGCTTCAGATAGCAGGGCATGCCTAGGTCTGCCTAGCATTAGACCACAGATAGCCACTCCACTCCATCTACAAGACACTAAGGGATTACACTGTATCTCCCATCAATTTACAAAAGCTCACACCCTGTAATCACAGTCAGTCAACACTGATGTTTCTGAAGATTAGAGTCTTTGCTACAAAACTTATACAGTATCCCTCGTGGAAGGAGACTTAACAGCAGGCTTGCATTAGCCTTTTGCAGATAGAAATGGCAGCATGGATTTGGAAGCCAGTCTTCTTCAGTAACAGTTTGATAGTCAGTCCAATATCATTAAGAAACAGAAGAACCATTTGCAGGGCCCAGTGATAAAGTAAAAATAGCTTGGACTGTGAACAACTACTCCATTTATTTCTACAGAAGAAGATGCTATAATGATACATGCAACTGGGAAGGAAATGACAGCAGACAGACTTAGTAATAAATTATGGAAACCGCACAACCAATGCAAAGACAATGCAAAAATGCAGCCCCCTCTCCCCACTTATCTCCCTTAGTGTGCTGGACCACAGAAATCACTAGAGGTTGTATTGCTTCACCCAACGGGGTTTTAACCATAACATGCTTGTTTAAACTAGATTCTTGTTCAAGCAATGGCTCTCACAAGGGCAACAGAAAGCTTCCTTCCAGAACGTTTCCCAAACTGTGGTCCCATGGACCGGCACAAACTTGTCCCTGACCCTCAGTTCCCAAACCGTGGTCAGTTGCACTTAGAAGCGGGAGGGTCTCTTCATCTCCCATCCATCCCCAGGATGGGTCCCCCTCTCTTGTCTGGTAACCCCAAGGTCCAGGAAGCATCCCATCTTGCTCAGTTCCTCTAAATGCCATTCCTGGCGAGCCTCTTTTTCCCTGGCGATGGCTTCTTTCTGTTCCTTAATCTTTCTTCTCCATTCCCGAGTCTCGGACTCACCCCAATACGATGGCTTTTGGGGTAATCCTTTCTTCCTCTGATCCTCTGCTTCAGCTTTAGGCACCCGGACTTGTTCCCATTTCCCCGGGGGTCCTGCAACCATATCCATTCCCAACCTCCAGGAATGTTGTCCCGTTCTGCCCTGACTTCTCCCAACCCCCTTCCTCCACCACCTCATGAACCTCCTTCCTTCCCACCAATTCTTCCTTAAAAGGATTAGTTATTTTTAACCCTTTCCATCTCTCTTCCTGCTCTCGGGTATCCACTGCTTTTGACACCCCTTTCCCTTGTGGATTTGCCTCCTCTAAATCATGAGTGTCTGAGCTTTGATCTCTTTTACGACTTAGGGTAGTTGGTGGACTAGTCTGAGTTTGTTTAGAAGTCTTTATGAGAGACGGCTCCACCAGAAAGACCCGGTACTTCTGGTCTTTCCCTTCACACTTATACCTTGCAGCCAAAGTCATATCAGATTGTAATGTTCACCACATCGAATTAACCTCCCACGTGCTCTTTGGATTGGCTCTCAAATGTCCCTTATAGTCACCACAAGACCAGCATAAACTACAGATAACATAATTCTCTTACAATGAGCCAGCAATCCTATTATGTGTCCCCTGTGGCTTTTCAGGACCCCTAACTCTCATAAGCTGCCTCACTTGCCTACTCCTTTCCTGCCAGCGATGCTGTGCCCAGCCTGGCCCTCTCTGTGCAATTCTGCCATTGTTCTATTTGCACATCCCTTACTGCTCAATGCCAGGTAGCCACAATGTGTTTCTGTACACAGGAACATCAGCCTGCCTTTGCCATAGGCAGCAAAATGTCTCAGGCTGTTCCTGCCTACCCGAATTTAGTGAAGAACCCCTCCATATCAGCTGATGGGGGATGCGTGAAGTGCAAGTTGGACAGCCAGAAGTGGGGAGCGTGCCTTCCCTCCTTTTTTGAAATGACTCTTTGAAAGCTATTCCTTGTTGAGTAGGTCTCCGCAAGCAAAAGCAACTCCCAGTGAAAGAAAAATGGCTTTAAAGAAAAAGGTTTCAGGAAGAAAATCACACATGAGGAAGCAACAGTTCCTCCCGCACACCTGTCCTTGTGGTACTTTCAGTCTCCTGTCACTCATCCCCTTCACGCAGCAGGATCCTAGTTTGATTATGTTGCACCGTGTTTGGCTTAAAAGATGTTCAGCAAGTGGTGACACTTTTGTTCCCCATACAGCTGGAATTGTTTATTGTACAAATGTTCCAGACCATCACACCAGTTCAGCTCAACTTGGCTCAGAAAACTACAGAGTTGCTTGTGCAGTTGCAAGCCCATTTGCAGCTGTCATGTTGTCACCAGTTAAAGCCCTATGCACATATTTGGGCTTTGGACTAGATCATGCAACACATGGGTCACACACAAACCATGTGTGGGTTATTTTTATGCCCCAAAGGCTCCCTCAACTCTTGTCACTGAAATGTGGCAAGTCACCCTGCCACATTTTGTTGGCAAGCTGCTAGTACCCATTAGAGCAAGAACAAAAGGCTTCAAGTTAGACACTGTTGCAATGCTGCTGGCAGTGGTATACAATGGTCTCTAGTCCCATTCCAAACATTGTGTTATAACAATTGCTGGATCTGGCTTATGGCAACTTTTTCCCCCTATGTATATAGTATTCAGAAGCAATTTACCATTCCATTCTTCTCGGCGGTCCTCTGGGATCAGCTTTCCTAGGGTTATTCAGGCTAGTTCTCCTTCTGGGAGACACAGTGGGATACTGGATTCCCAACTATGGCTAATCCAACTCAGTGAGATATACTCCCAATAAAGTTATTCTGAGGGAAATTCCTATCCTTAGTCCAGTCAGTACTCCAAAAAGTACAGAAAGTGTTAGGTGAACAAAAGCCAATCTACATCTGATAGCAGAGATCTATAATTAGATCTCCTGAGACCTTTTACTTATTTCAGAACAATTGTATGGTGTGCCGACTTGATGTACAAGCAGTTCTATAAGCAGGAGTATTGACAAAGGGCTAAAACACCCTCATTAATTTAGCCCTCTACCTTTGTTCTCAGTTAAGAGAAAGAGATGTAGAGATCTCGAGAGTTCATAGGCAATTTTTATTAGGTTAACGAGGGAGGGGGGAAATGCTAGCAAACTCTTTAGATCTCTACATTTTTGAATTAGAGAATAAGCAACAAAGTTCAAGAGTGGAGGGAGGAAAAATATCTGCCTTGATATGAAGCCATGTTGTTTCCATGATGCCCCTCTGAGATGAAACAGAGAAAGGTATGCAGATGTTATTTGAGGGTTTTAATATTAGCCTACAGGAATACCAGAACTAGCAGATGAAACATAGAGATGTTTAATCCTCCAGTTCTCAAAATATAAATCCATCTGTGAACTCAGAAATGTTGCCATCCCAGGAAAGTGCACAGGTCCTTTACTGGCAGGAAAAAAGAGCAACTGGGAAGACTTTATATTTACAATAATTAAGATTTTGCTTGGCAAACTGGGTAAAAAAAGTAAATAGAGGCAAATATCAATAGAAGCTACATTTATTTAATGAACAGAAGGATCTGAGGTAGCTCACACTCAACCTGTTGGAGTACAGTCATGTTTTAGTGCTGTGTTGTTGTTTAGTCATTAAGTCGTGTCTGACTCTTTGTGACCCCATGGACAAGAGCACGCCAGGCCCTCCTGTCTTTCACTGCCTCCCAGAGTTTGGTCAAGTGCTGTGTTACTTTACTGTAAACATGAGCTGCCATAATACATCTGATGCACTGAATGCCAAGATCTGCAAGTAATGCATTACGAAAAAATGCATTCATCTGTGTTGCAGTTCATCTCTTTGCAGATGTGGGTAATGTGAGTGTTCTGCTCACGTGAGGACAATTCATGTGGTTTCCCATAAGAGATGTGCATGAGTTCCCTTTTACACATTACCCGTCTCAGAAGCACACACATAAAAAGGGAAGAGAAACCCAATTGTGCTTTCTTGTTAGACTGCAATCCTTAGCAGATTAGTTTCATTTGATCATGGTGATTTTAGTAGCAGCTAAACCCGCACAGGGTATGGCTGAATCTTTTTTTGTGTTAATATGTGATACCACTCCTGTCACACAAAATACTGCTCTGCTTACATCTGGGTACAGCAGGAAGAGCTACAAACATATCTAGTGAATTTCCAAAGAGGTTACAGTCAGCACGAAAGCACTGCAAGTGATGCAATCAGAGGGCTCTGGCAAATGCTGCTGAGCTTAATTGCTTCCTACAAACAATTCTAAGAGCGGGTTTCACCCAATATGTACACCCAGACAAGAAAGGGCACCAAACTGCTGATTTGGAGCTGTAAAGATTATTCAGAACCCCCACGGGGACTACAATGGGTAAATGCAGCTGCCTAGCCTTTAGTACACTGCATATATATGGCAATCCACACAAGATATATAGAAAATCCAGAACTGGGAGGTTAATCCTAAACACCCTTACCTATGAGTAAGCCCAACCAAACTAAATTGGACTAACTTTTGAGTAGATACGTACAAGAACATGCTGCATAATTGCAATTCAATTCAGATTAAGCCCTACCAAGATTCGTGGGATGTAAGTTTCTGATTGACATCTGAATAAATATATTTAGAATCAAAGCTGTACAATTACAGTCCTGTGTGGAAGCAAGCACCACGGACTCCGCTGGTTCCAATGACAACAGGCACACCTGACTACGCAAAGAAAGCCACACAGAACATAGTAACTTGCCTTTGGGTAGACAAGAACCACATCAGAATGCAAGACTAAAATCCTGAACACTGGATAGGATCTGATTCCAAATGAATACAATGGGATTTATTTTTGAACAGCCGTGCACTGTATCAAGATGGAAGTTGTGTGGATTAATTGATTTTTGAGTTACAAAAGGCTGTAGCCTTTCACACTCTAGTACTGTATCTGAAACCTGAGTGAAATAGCTACCCGTCCGGTGGTGGTGGGTTCAGTTGTCCCACGAGGGCAAATAAACCAGGGAATCGGATCCCTCAGAAAGATACTATGAAGTGAGGGGAAATGCCCTTGTAGACTTAGTCCGGAGTTTCTGTCCGGGGGGGTATTTTGACTAGGCAGGTGGCAGGGCAAAAGAAAATTTGGAAGCCCATCCAAGCTTTTCCGGGCGTCCGTGGGAACTTCTGGAGCTGATAACACGTTTCTTCCCTAAGGGAACATTACAGAGGTCACTTCCAGTCCGAGCCTAGACGTGTCCTGCTCAGGAATCATCCCTATTAAACTGAGTGAGATTTACTCCCAGCTCAGATACATATGCATACAGGTCAGAAGCCTTCGCTGGTCACATATTAACCCGCAAGAGTTGCTCCTCGCACGAGAGATAGAGGGGTGATGAAACAGCCATGTTAGGGAGGTAAAAGAAGCCTAGGAGACAGACGCTGAGTACTAATTAATGAAGTAATAATAAGGAAGAGGAAGAGCACTTCTGCAGCCTGAGCCCCTCTTCACACGGCGGGCCTCCCCAGCTCGGGGGGGAGGGTCCCCAGCGCTCTTACCTGGAGCCTCCGCCATGCCCGACGCCCTGCCGCTGAGCTGGACCGCCTGCCGGCCAAGCAGGGGAAACCGACGGCGCGGGCCCGCCCTCCTCCGCAGGCGACCCGCTTCGCCCCCTCGGCGCCGCGGGAGAGGCCGCCCCGCGGAAGCGCTCCCCCAGGCGCTCAGCTGCCCAGTTTCGACGGCGGCGACGAAAGCTTGCGGAGGGCGGCCGATCACTTCCTTCCGCGCTCCTCCACTTTCCCCTCTCCCGTCTAAAAGTGGCCTTGACCGCGACAATTGCGACAGGCAAAAGTGAAGCGCTTCGCCGGAGTCCACCGGGGCCGGGGGTGGGGAAGGGAGGGGAACCAGCCCTCTGCCCAGCGATCCGTCCAGTCTCCGGATGGCTGGAGTCCGGACGGACAGGTCACTGCTTCCCTCCAGAAGCTCTTGAACAGACCAAGCCACCGTGCAGGTGATTTTTACAAGTCATCAGGCAGGAAGCAGCCTTTTCCCTTAGTATTGCCCCCTCAAGCAGTTGTAGGTTCTTCCTCAATGAACACATACCAGGCATACAGGCAGATCTGTTTCTTCCGCTGATCCCTATCGTCAACGCTACTTGCCTTGCTTCCTTCCCATCATTTAGTGTCATTTGTTCCTCATCACGGGACAATAGTTCAGTTTAGGTTGGCGGGATGACCAGCTAAATTTGAAATCCGAATTGGGCTGGTGGTTAGTCCCTTACAGTTTATTCCTTACACAAGTAGGGTTCATTGAGTTTAGTGGGACTAGCAGTGTAATCCTGACCTGTGTAACATTTTTAAGCCCCACTGAATTCAGTGGAATTTGTTCCCATTCTCAAATACAATATTCCAGTCAGATGAGCTTGCATAGGATCAGAGGCTTATGTTATCCTGAATAAAATTTTGTGATCTAGGATTACATTTCTCAGCTAATATGATGAGTGGTTAGTAATTAAGATTTAGGAGAGGGGAATTCCTAAGGAGAACAGGAATGCAAGTTAGAGTAAGAAGGACTTGACTTTGTCACTATAATTACACCCCTACACGTTTACATTTCTTCTAATCTGTCATAACCTTGTGCCACCTAATGTGTTGGACTTTAGGTTCCATGATTTCTTCTACCCATTTGTGAAGGTTCGAGTGTAACTTCGGGCTGATTGGACACAAATACAGGATGCTCAGTTTTTTGAAAAACAGAACTGGGATTTATTGGAACATCAAATAAAGAAGTATCCACGATAAACTTTTCTTTGTTCTTTTCTCTCGTTGCCAACGGGTCAAACGAGGGTGTCCATAAATCTTGTAGGAAGGGGTTATAACTTGGATCATACCAGGGTCCTTTGGTGAAAGGGTTGGTCTCACTCTGGTCTTTATTGTCTATGTCCACCTCAATCAAGGGTAGTGTCTCTTCATCTCCCCCCTCATGGTCAAAGGGGTCGGTTCCCTCTGCATAGGGGTCCCAAGGTCCTGTAAATACCTCCTCCGGTGAGCCTCCTCCAGACGCCATGCTCGTCTTTCACGTTCTTCCCTTTCCACCACCTCCTTTTCCTCCCTTAAGCGTCTCCATCACTCTCTGGCTTCAGATTTCCCCCAATAAGACAGTTTGGGAGGCAACCCCCTTCTTCTCCTATAATCAGCCTCCTCCCGAGGCATTCTCACTTTCTTGCACCTCCCTGTCCAGGGATCCTCGACCCATATCAGTTCCCAGCCATCCGGTATGGTGTCCCATTCCCCTTTTATATCCCCATGTCCCGCCTTTACAAACGGTTGCTCCTTCCCCCTTGTTCCCCCCTTTTCTAGTCCTGTCTGAGTGGCCACCGAGAGTCTCTCAAAACCCCATTCCAATTCACGGGTGTCTACTCTCTGGTGCCTGACCTCTGTTTGGGTCTCCTTTTCTTTCTTAAAGGAGGATGACACTCCGGCGAGCGCTTCTATAGCCTCACCTCAGGTCTCACACCATTCACCAAGTTAGCTTGGATGGCACCACATCACAGAGGATGCCTGCTTTAAGTTAATGGAATTGCTTTTTTTTTCTCTACTGCTCTTTTCTCTGCTGTTAACTTCAGGAAATTAATGTTTGGACTATAAAAGTGTTGTGAAGAAGGTTCTCCGAATTATTCCTGGTTTCCTTGAAATGGCCAACATTTAGCATGTTTAATTCTTCTTTGTCCCTCATCTATGTAAACATTATAGCTGGCTACGAAAAAGGCCCACTCAACAGTCCCCCCTCATACATTTTGTGCCATGACTGAAATATGAACAGGTCCCCAGCACATTCTTCATGAATGTCTACTGTTACATACAGCTATGACATCACCTGCCCGTCACTGCTGAAGCTGTGTGTCATCTACCAATGGCGTGACGGAGGGTGGGACTTAAGGGGTGGAGCTGTTGTATATAAGGGGAGTGAATGGTGTGAGAGGGTCAGATTGAATTGTGTGGGCAGATAGGGCTTTAGAGTTAGGGACGGTTAGGGTTTGGAGATACTGTGAGATAAGATCTGTGCTATATAATGAGAGTCTGTGAGAGTGTGTGTGTGATTGTTATATTATATTATTGATTGATTTATTCTTTACATACAAGTGATTTACCATTCCTTTTGTTGTACACAATAAACCTTAGTTTTATTTTTAAATCATACTTTGGCCTGAAGCTTCATTTGAGGGAATGGTTGGTGGCAGAAGAGTGATTGAGTGTGACGTAATAGCCCCTTTGTGAGGTATAAGGAGGCTGTTACAAATAAAATTGGTGTCCAGTGGCGGGATGCGAGTAGTCCAGTAAAGCCTTGGCAAAAACGTGCCCAGAGCAGGGGTCTTCAGTTAGGGTCATCTGAAGTGGAGAGCGTGGGTCACCTTCTAGGGCTTTGGCTCAAGGGGAGCAAAGACTAGTAGAGGGGCGCTGAAACTTCAGAGAGAAAACTGAGACAGGGAAGCTCTGTGGAGTCCATTTTGTGTGTGTGGAGTGGCCCAAAGCAAAGGCTGTGGTGGTTTGGCCAGCGTGTCCTGAGTTTAGGGAAACTCTGAGGGGACATAGCAAAGGCCAAGGGCAGCAAAGCTGAGGGAACTCCATTTAAACAGCTAAACCTAGGTAGAGCTGTGTGAATTTAAGATTGGTGCCAAAGGCAGAATAATAAAAGTAAACTTTGTTTGGCAAGAGGCCCAGCTTAAGGGGCAGAAGCCTAGTTACAGTTGTTAGCTGACAGTGCTGGAAAAGGCTGCAACTTTATATCACAGACCAATAGCAAAGGAAAAAAGTGACTTTTAAACCAAGGCTTG